CTCCCCACAAGTACGTCTGCGCCGGCCGGTCGAGGTGGGAGGGGGCCGGGGGACGGCGTTCGGAGCGGGCGCGCTACCGCGCCGCAGCTGTTGACGCGAGCTCGCGGAGGGGGCTGCGACGGTTTTGGAGCGGTGGCGGCGGCCCAGGTACTGCGTCGGAGCGGCCTGGCTGCGTTCGCGCTGCTGCGGCCGCAGGCCCGTTCAACCAGACCGAGCCGGACCGCTGGGTGGGGGTTGTGTGCGGCTCAGCCTTGACTTTGTCATCGTGTTTGTAGGGGGTCTCGCCCACATCAGTGTCCGTAGAGTTGCCATGGTGACAGCTTGAGGGTTTGATAGCGGGATTCCCACGGAGTAGGGACGGTCCCTCGGAAGCTGGGTTCTTGCTGCATAGATAAGCCTTTCTTTGACTGGTGCTTGTTTTCGGTGGCGGTGGGTGTGTTTAGATGCCGCCGAGCTTCGTTCAGGGAGGAGGAGATGGATGGAGCGAAGGCTCGGTCCAGCGCTCTGCGGATGTAAACAATGAGCTCTGGGTGTAGTGTCGCGGGCACTGGGGAACACCTGGTTAGAGTACCACCGCGCCCCCCCCCGTTGCCTTCGGTTTCCTACCGCGGGAGCTGCTAGCGACACTTTGTAGCGGGTAGCGGGACGTGCTATCAAAATTAGAAAATTAGGGCTTGCTGACCTTGACTGCGGGATGTGATTTGAAGATTTGTTTTAGGGATACCTTTAGGTCTGATCGATACTTTCTTGTGTCTTGGGGTTAGTGTTTTGTCTGGTTTTCTACTGTGGCTTTAATTCGAAGATTGCAAAACATGCCAAGATGAATGTCGTGTTTATGAAGTTTATTCCCACCCCATTTCTTTCTGTTCACTGGCATCTCTGTCTCAACCACCATGGCAACCATTAAGTCCCTAGCGAGGATGAAGCTTCGCTTTCATAGCTCCACCTATTTTTGCTTCAGATTCCTCCCCATAAGGCTTGAGTTGTCATGTGACATCTTGGTTTTGTGTTTATTTTAACCAAATAGCTCCTGAAACTCGAGGGTGTAAGAGCTAGTAGTTGGAGATGGGTAACAGCCATTGGGAGTTAGGTGATTTCTCCCTACGATTTATTTTCATGTGAACCTCATGACGGCCAGAGCCTGAGTTTATAGGGGTACATACTGCGCGTTAGCAACTTTTTTCATTTTTCATGCCTTCACGTCTAATTCTGCTTCCCCTTTTTACAGGCTCCCTGGGGAAGGGAATGCAGGGTTACTGGGGCTGGGCCCAGAGGCAGCAGCACCAGGGAAAAGGATTAGAAAGCCTTCTCTGCTGTATGAGGGATTCGAGAGCCCCACGATGGCTTCTGTACCAGCTTTACAACTGACCCCTGCCAACCCACCACCCCCCGAGGTGTCCAATCCCAAAAAGCCAGGGCGGGTGACAAACCAGCTGCAGTACCTGCACAAGGTGGTGATGAAGGCCCTGTGGAAGCACCAGTTTGCGTGGCCATTTCGGCAACCTGTGGATGCCGTGAAACTGGGTCTGCCGGTGAGTGAGAGGGTGGGCTGGGGCAGGTGTGGGGGTGAGCAGGAGCGTGTGAGTGGGGGTATGGGCTATCTAGTGTAGGTGCTGCGGCCCCTAGGGAGTCCCCATTCTCTTGAGGACAAATAGCCACCAGAGTTCTAGATTCTTGGTCCTTTGTGCTTGTTATCTCTATCTTGGCATCTCTCATTTTGCCCTCCATGTGTCCCTTCCTTAACTTTTGTGCCCTGGCTCCATTTTACAGATTCCCACCCCTGGTTGGGAGAGGACCACGGTGGCCAAAATTCTTAGCTTCTTCCTTTCCCTCATGCAGCCCATGGATAGCCATCCCCAGAGGTAATGTCACAGGATGGGAAGCTTCCAGAGTGGGTGGGAGGTGGGTGGCTAGAGAAAGGCATTAGGGACTTCCTAGTGGGAATTAAAAGGTTGTACTCTAATTTTTCTGACCCATAGTTTCATTGGGGCCGCAGTGTGGGGTACTCCCTTAGTGGCTAGGGTGTGTGTGCAGGTGTGTGTCTGTCATTCCTGTCAGTAGTTGCCCTAGAATAGGCATTTTTCCATGGCTCTGACCTGTCCTATCTTTCTTTAGGATTACCACAAAATTATAAAACAGCCTATGGACATGGGTACTATCAAGAGGAGACTTGAAAACAATTACTACTGGGCTGCCTCTGAGTGTATGCAGGACTTCAATACAATGTTTACCAACTGTTACATTTATAACAAGGTAGGCTGTTCGACTTTCTTGGAGTGTTTAGGTTTGTTTACTATAACGGTGAGAGGCAGTACATTTGTTTGTGGTTTTAGGGCTGCTGGAAATAGTGTCCAGGTCTTCAGGGTCCTAGAAGAGCCTGGCCTGCACGTGCCCTTAGACAGCAGTGCCCCTGGAGTTACAGAGGATTTAAGTTGAACACCTTTCATTTGTGGGGGGGTGGCCGTGTTTCTCAGAAAGCTCTGGAGGCCTGAGAAGAGCGGAATATGTAACTCATCAGCTCTGTCTTGTGCTTGCGGTGGTGACAGGGATCAGAAAGGTGTGGTACCCTGAGGCTGGGAGTTCTGCAAAGATGGTAATTTGTGTGCTTGTTCTTGCAGCCCACTGACGACATCGTCCTGATGGCACAGACACTGGAGAAGATCTTCCTACAGAAAGTGGCAGCTATGCCACAAGAGGAACAAGAGCTTGTGGTGACCATCCCTAAGAACAGCCATAAGAAGGGGGCCAAGTTAGCAGGTAAGAAGAGATGGGGCCGTACGTGTGGCCTAGCGACAGGAAAGCTGTACAGGTGACCTGACTAAAGATGAGAATGAATGACACTTCTGTGCTGTTTTTCCCTTCCTAGCGCTGCAGGGTAGTATTACCAGTGCCCATCAGGTGCCTGCAGTTTCTTCTGTGTCACATACAGCCCTGTATACACCACCGCCTGAAATACCCACCACTGTCCTCAACATTCCCCACCCGTCAGTCATCTCTGCTCCCCTTCTGAAGTCCCTGCATTCTGCTGGACCCCCGCTCCTCGCTGTATCAACAGCTCCTCCAGCTCAGCCCCTTGCCAAGGTATCAGATTGTTTGGGCACCTGGGAGGAGAAGGTGTTAATAGAAATGGACCTGGAGTGACCCTATCCCTCACCTTTCTACAGAAAAAAGGCGTTAAACGGAAAGCAGATACTACTACCCCTACACCTACAGCCATCCTAGCTCCTGGCTCCCCAGCTAGTCCTCCTGGGGGTCTTGAGCCAAAGGCAGCACGGCTTCCTCCTATGCGTAGAGAGAGTGGCCGCCCAATCAAGCCCCCACGAAAAGACTTGCCTGACTCCCAGCAGCAACACCAGAGCTCTAAGAAAGGAAAGCTGTCAGAACAGCTAAAGCACTGCAATGGCATTTTGAAGGAGTTGCTCTCAAAGAAGCATGCTGCCTATGCCTGGCCTTTCTATAAGCCAGTGGACGCTTCTGCTCTTGGCCTTCACGATTACCATGACATCATTAAGCATCCCATGGACCTCAGCACTGTCAAGGTACCCACTGCATGGGGCAGATGGGATGCTCAGGCAGTGATTGGAACCTAAAGCAATATCCATGTCTCCTTTCGGGCATTTAGTAGATTTTCATTCTGGGTGTCTTGCTATTATAAAACTGTACAAGGCAGAAAGAAGTCCTTGTTTCTTATGGTAAGGATAAGATTTCAGCAGTTCTAAGAGTCGGGTTAGGGAGATGTGATGTGGGAGATGGCCTTGGTCACTTAGAAATGTTTCTTTCTAGACGTAGATCTCTCTTCAAACCTACCCCAAATCCTTGGACTTCAAACTTGAGCCCCAGGGCACAGATCTTAAGGTCATCCCCACTGTTGTTCCAAGAGAGAGGGCTGCTCTTGAGTCGGGTTGGCAGGGAAAGATGAGTCTCTGCCTGTGCAGCTTCTCACGCTGCCTCCCTCTGCAGCGGAAGATGGAGAATCGTGATTACCGGGATGCACAGGAGTTCGCTGCTGATGTGCGACTCATGTTCTCCAACTGCTATAAGTACAATCCTCCTGACCACGATGTTGTGGCCATGGCACGGAAGTTACAGGTGAGTGTGACTTGTCGCTTACACACACCTGGTTATGAGGAGAGGTTTATGTTGGAGCTAGTGAGTTGGGTGACTGGGCATTAAACACAGTTTTGTCTCCACCTGTGTTTTTAGGATGTGTTTGAGTTCCGCTATGCCAAGATGCCAGATGAGCCACTGGAACCAGGGCCTTTACCAGTCTCTACCGCCTTGCCTCCTGGGTTGGCCAAATCATCTTCAGAGTCTTCGAGTGAGGAAAGTAGCAGTGAGAGCTCCTCGGAGGAAGAGGAGGAAGAGGATGATGAAGATGAGGAAGAGGAGAGTGAGAGCTCAGACTCTGAGGAAGAAAGGGCTCATCGCCTGGCAGAGCTGCAGGAGCAGGTATCTCATTAAGCTTTGGGCTTAGATTGGGTAAGAACTTTGAACTATGTGTTCTTTGAACAACTGTGTTTCTTGATCTTTATTGTCTCTTGTCCTGTGTAGCTTCGGGCAGTACATGAACAACTGGCTGCCCTATCCCAAGGCCCAATATCTAAGCCCAAGCGGAAGAGGGAGAAAAAGGAGAAAAAGAAGAAACGGAAGGCAGAGAAACATCGGGGCAGAGTTGGGATTGATGAAGATGACAAGGGGTCTCGGGCACCTCGACCACTTCAGCCCAAGAAATCTAAGAAAGCTGGAGGTGGCAGTTCTGCTATGCTAGGCCACCCTGGCTTTGGGACTTCTGGAGGAAGTAGCAACAAGTGAGTATTTAGGACAGTCTTTGTTGTGTAGGTCGGCCTCTGCATCTGATGAACTCATCAGCAACTTTCTGTTGCCCATAGGTTGCCTAAAAAGGCCCAAAAGACAGCCCCACCTGTCCTGCCCACTGGTTATGATTCGGAGGAGGAAGAAGAAAGCAGACCCATGAGTTATGATGAAAAGAGGCAGTTAAGCCTGGATATCAACAAATTACCTGGAGAGAAGTTGGGTCGAGTTGTACATATCATCCAAGCCAGGGAACCCTCTTTACGTGATTCAAATCCAGAAGAAATCGAGATTGATTTTGAAACACTCAAGCCATCCACACTTCGAGAGCTTGAGCGATACGTTTTATCCTGCCTTCGGAAGAAACCCCGGAAGCCCTATAGTGAGTATCAAATGAGGGTCCTCATGAACACAGCTCTCCAGTTCTGAGGGCAGCAGAATAGGGGTGAGGGGTGTGTGACAGGCCACACTGGATCGTGGGCTGCTTTATATTCAGGAATGGAAAGAAACTTGGTGGTTCTTGGGTGACTAAAGGCAACATAATATAGTGAATCCTTTGCCCTTTCCTCCTAGCTATTAAGAAACCTGTGGGAAAGACAAAGGAGGAGCTAGCTTTGGAGAAAAAGCGGGAACTAGAGAAGCGGTTGCAGGACGTCAGTGGACAGCTTAACTCCACCAAAAAACCTCCCAAGAAAGGTGAGTGCTGCACCTGCTGGGACTCCGCCTGCTTCCCACTCCTTCAGTTGCTAGGCACTTTCTGTTGACAGATGAATGTTACTCTTTTGTGCAGCGAGTGAGAAAACAGAGTCTTCATCTGCACAGCAAGTGGCAGTGTCCCGGCTCAGCGCTTCCAGCTCCAGCTCAGATTCCAGCTCCTCATCTTCATCGTCCTCTTCTTCAGACACCAGCGATTCAGACTCTGGCTAAGGGGTCAGGCCAGATGGGGCAGGAAGGCTCCGCAGGACCGGACCCCTGTACCACCCTTCCCCACCACTGTCCCCTTGCTGTGACACTTCTTCATCTCCCTCCATAGGAGAGCTGGCTCTGCAGTGGGAGGATGCAGGGACACGGACAGAACCAGACTGACTGCTAGCCCTTTGGGGAATGACCTCTTGGGTGTAGTGTCCCTGTTCAGGATGATGGGGGTGGGCAAGGGTATGGGTGGGAGTGGGCATAGGCCTGGCACAAGGCCACCTAAGGCCATAGCTGTCCTGTTCACTTCTATAAGGGCCCTGTTTTGAGGTTTTATTTATTTAAGCTAGGTAAGGCTGTGAGGAGAGAGCACCATGGCCCTCCCTCCAGCCTCCATGGGGAGGGAAGAAGAGGGAGCTCCTTTTTTTACGTTGACTTTTTTTTTCTACTCTTCCCTTTTCCTTCTACTCCATTTGGGGCCTGGGGATTTAAGTCACCTCTCCATTTGGCCCCCTGGACTATCTTTTCTTTCTCTTGATTCTAACTTGTAAATAAAGAAAATATTATTGAAGTTTTGAGTTAGTTATCATAGTGAGATTTGTTTCTGTATTCAGAGTGATTGAAAAAGAATGAAGTTGTCTCATTGGCTTTACTGTTCGGTTCTGGGAAGATTACTCCATCAGATACAGTGCTTTGAATCAGTGTTAGGTGTGCTGGGCATCACCATTAGCTATCATCCCCCAATTGGCCCTGTCTGGGGTGCTAGGAATTGATCCTCCTGAAGTTTTGGGGGAGGCTAGAAATGTCTTGTTGATCATGTCTCTGCTCATAGCCTTAGATTGGTTGCCTTCTGGTATAATGTACAACACTTGAAAACTGAACCCCAGTCTCTTTAAAGTGCTCCAAACCTGTGTTGCAGTGCTGGGAGGTTTTGGTCAGTGTGTCTCCTGAGAACGTGCCCATCCTAACTGGCCATCTTGGTTTCTAGTGCAGTTGGCCTAGATAAGCAGTCGGGGATTGGCAGTGGAGTGCTGGGCCTGAGGGGTGCTTCCTTCCTGTCTTACACTGCCACTGCTTTTCTGGGTTCAGCCTGGCACTAGGAGGGGTGGGTGGGTGCCTGCTGCTGCCCCTTAGATTCCAGGCCTGCCCTCGGTCTGCATTACCCTTGCTCCATGCCTAAAGGGCTGGTTGGCCTGCAGGGGAAGTGGGTGGGGATAAACACATGCTCACCTGCACCACAGCCTGTTCTGTGACATTTAGATGGCAAGATTTAAGGAGGTGACAGGTTTTTGTGATCAGGAAGAGGGTCTGGAGATGGTAGAATTGGCTAAAGCAGCAAAGATGGGGGTGCTTGACCCCCACACACACATTGTCTGAACAGCAGCTCAATAAGGTCAATGCTGAAGGATTTGCATTTTTCTCCTAAATAGTGTTCACAAGGAGTACTTAGTGTATTCAGTGTATGACAAGCAATGTGCCCAAAACAATTTGGTTGTCATGGTAACAATAGATTGGATGTAAGGCATAAGAGCTAGGCTGCTTCCCCAATTCAACTCACTGGAGGTTAGAGTTTGACAAGGCAGCCTGGCTTCGGAATGTACTGGGATACTGCATCGGACTTCCCGCTGTGCACTGAAAGTGAACTGGAGGCATCAGAAGCGGATTTCAGGACAGAAGAATGGCCTAGGGGCCACCAGCACAGAAGAGGCAAGCCTGCAGTCCTTAACCTGAGATGAGTTTTGGTGCCATCTGTTGGCCATGCTTGTGATTTGCTCTTGGATCAGGTAGGTTCTCAGTACACAGGATTTAGCAGGAGCCTTCAGTGCTCTCAGGCTGTGGAAGATCACAGGTCAGGCTGTAGACCTTATCTCCCTTACCTGTGCGCATGCCTTTCAGGCAGACTGCTTGCTGGAGGGCTCAGCCCCAACCTCATGAGGACATGCTTTCCAAACACGTCCCCTTGATATGTTGTGCCCCCACCCCTGGTCCTCGTGTGGGTAGGCCAGGTGTCCCTGAGGTACATCCCTAACACAGCAAGTCCTCTAATAAACAGACTTCCACGTGTTTGCACGCAAGAGCACCTGTATTGTCAGTTAATCCCAGAGGTAGGTACTCATCGTGTGAGTGAGAACTGGAGCCTAGTGATCTTGCTGGTTTCCTCATTTCCTGATCCAAGTCATCTGGCTATAAACTGTGTCTCAGGGCCCATTACCCCCTTGTTATTCCTGCCACGATTAAATTTGTCCCTTCCACAATCCCCACCTTCCCCAGTTAGACAGAAGCCAGACTATAGGCTCCAAGTGCTTTTGTGTCCATGTGCCATGTAAACACAGGAAGTCTTCCTCCTGTTTGCCAAGTGAGAATGTCTGGTCCTCCAACAGTGAAGTTTTGTGTGGGAATTGCTACCCCGAGTTATATCTCCCTGCCCCCATTTGAGGTGCTTATCTGCAAAGAACCTTAACTTCCCTCTGCTCCTGGAGTTGGATGAGGAAGTTTGAGTGCACGTGATTATTCCTTGATCCCTGCTGGGGTCAGGTGACAGTCCCTACTGGGGACAGGTGAAGGTGGAGTGCATGTGATCAGTCCTTGACCTCTACTGGGGTCAGGTAAGAGTTCCTCCTTGGGTCAGGTGACAGTCCCTTCGCAGCCCCTTCCCCATTTGGTGCCATGGTATAAAAGCTAGCCCCAGCAGTACAATAAACGAGCTGCTGTTTCACCTCAACCTCGTGCTCTGTGGATTTCATTCAACCTGGACACCCTCCGCCGAGACTCGTGGTTCCAGACCGTGCTGGCGCGGTAGTTTTGGGTCGGAACTGGGAGGGAAGGGGAGTTACTGTTCTTTATAGGGGCTGAGCTGTGTACATACGGCTACCCTGCATTTGCTGGTCTTCCTGCGCATGAACTGGAACAAAAAGCTGTTAGCTGCAGCCATCACACCTGAATCAGCTGCTAGACACAAGGCAGCGCTCTTCACGTATGAAATAACTTTGTAATATTAGTCCTGGGGCTGCCAGGCTTTTATTTTGAGAAGGTGGATTGTGGAGAGGATTCCTGTGAGAATGGCCGTCTTCTTGCCCTTTAGTTTCTGTCTAATCTCATTCCCATTTAGGAGACACCCTCTGCATGGTTTGAATTATTTGGTTTTAGTTTTTTTGTTTGTTTTTGTTTTTTTTAGATGGGATTTCTCTTGTAACAGCCCTGGCTGTCCTAGAACTCTAGTATATATCAAGTTGGCCGTGAACTCAGAGATCCGCCTGCCTCTGCCTCCCAAGTGCTGGGATTAAAAGCATGCACCACTGAAAAAAACATTTTTAATTCAGTGTACTTAAAGTTTTTAAGTTTGCTTATTTGCTTTCAGTTGAGATACAGCCACACAGGAACAAGAGCAGACACAGCATCTTTACCAGAAGAGAATGATGGTTAATCCTTCCAGGTCCATAGCTACCTATAATAAAAGTCTTTCCTGTAGTTTAGGATGGCCTCAGTCTCCTGGGTCCACCTGCTCCCACTTCCCACGTGTGAGTGTAGGCTCACACGTGTGCCACTCTATTCCTGATTTGAGGAAGCATAATGCTTCCCTGTGTCTTTCATTGTGACCTTAGTCACAGATCTGTCAAGGTCACCATCACCTGCCCCTGGCGCTGACCTCAGCACTGGTTCTCACACACACTGTGATTGTCTCCATGTCTTCCCAGCAGAGTGTCCAAGAGCGCGCTCAGGGCAGGAAGGAAGGGAAGACAGGGAGCAGCTGTGTGAGTGGAGGGGCGCGGAGCCAATACACCAACATGCGGTGAAATTTACAAAGGGCCCTGTAGATGTGTCCAGGAAGCCTAGTGAAAAAGCAGAACACACTCTGACGGTGGCGTTGCTAGGCGTGTTGTGGGGCAGGGGACTGACTCCCGCTGGACTGCAGCTCCAGTCCCCTCTGAAGCAGGGTCTCAGTAAATTTTCCCAGGCTGGCCTTGAGCTTGTGAGTCCACTACCTTAGCCCGGATGACAGACATGCCTGCTAGGCGGGTGATGAGCACACCCCATAACCTCATTGTGTAAGGCCCAGTTTAGAGACAAGGGGCTGCCTACTGAAGGGGTGAGATTGGATGAAACTGATTCCAAAGTTATTCTGTATCAGAACTTGCTTTCGATGCCCTGGATAGAAGCCAGCAAACACTTCAGACAAGGCAACTGAAGAAAACACCGAGATTCAGGGTGGGGCAGGTTGTGGGAGTGGTATGGCTAGAGAGACACAGTCCATCTTTTTTAATGTAAAATTACATTCATGCATGTGTATGGGCATTTAAGGCTTGCACGAATCGGTTTTTCCACGTGTGGGTCCCAGAGATAAGGGTACCAGGCTTGGCAGCTTTCTCTGTGTGCGCCATCCTGCCGGCCCTCTGTTCCCTTGTAAATACATGGTCTGACAATGAGCGTTGTGTGTGGTCAGTTTTCACCAAGCCCAATTAAATGAATTTAGCTCGCAAATTGTTAAGAAGTGGGAAAGCGCAAACAGAATGAGCTCAGAGCCGAGGGAGCCCCCTTTGATGCTCAGCTATAGGACGAGATGTTTTGGACAGACTTAGGAAGTCCTTGTAAGATTTGGGGAACATTTTGCCTTTGCCATTACTATTTTTTGTTAATCCTGCTGGTTTTCTAATTGGAGTTGACAATATAAATCTCAAACATAAGAAAGGAATTGGACCAGGCAGTGAAGGCACACATCCTTAGTCCCAGCACTTGAGAGGCAGATACCTGTGAGTTCAAGGTCAGCCCGTCTACAGAGCTAATTTGAGGACAGCCAAGGATACAAAGAAACCCTGGTTTGAAGAACACGGTATATACTCACGGTATGGTTATTAGACATAAAGCGAAGGAAAACTAGCTTACAGTCCACAACCCCAGAGAAACTAGGTAACACCCTAAGAGAGGCATGCATGGATTCCCCTGGAAAGGGGAAATAGATAAAAATCTCCTGAGTAAACTGGGGAGAGGGGAGGAGGAGGAGAGCATGAGAGAGAGAAAATGGGACAGTGGAGTTGGGGGAGGGACAGAGGGAGAGCAAGGAAGGACATCTTGGTGAAGAGAGTCATTATGAGGTTAGGGAGAAACCTGTCACTATGGAAATTCCCAGGAATCCACAAGGATGACCCCAGCTAAGACTCCAAGCCATAGTGAAGAGAAGAATCTCCTGTGTCAGTGCCGTCAAATCACTGAACAAACCAAAGAACAGATACTGAAAGCTGGAAGAAGACACGGTCACATCACAAACTGTCAGAACAGCTGATTTCTTTTCCAACGGAAACTGAAAGCCAGAATGTCTCAGGATGTCCTGAGAACCGCAGCTGTCAACCTAGACGACTCTACCAAGCACAATTACAGCTGAGGGAGGAATGAAACTGCCCCTGATAAACACAGACGAAATGAACGTATGAGCATACAGTCAGCTACTGTTGAGAGAAACTCAGGGCATCTAAGAGGCCAAGATGCTAAGAGCACGGCCCACAGAGCTGACTGAATGTGCGCCCAGAGACTGCAGCGACCATCACAGACCCTGTATGGGTCTGAGCTAGGTCCTCG